AAAAATCGATCCGATCGAGGTTCGCAATCGGGGGCCTAGACGGTAACGGATGACGAGGCTCAGAAGTTCCCTTAAATATATTGAGCTTGCTTATGTAGTCGAGGGTAAATTGTCAAGGTATACCTGGAGAATACGTATCCAAAATGAATTTAGGAACTTGGGGTAACTTGTGGAATTTCACGCTGCAAGCTCTTCCGGTGTGTAATAAACAATGACGGCCTTACAGGGGGGGGTCGGAAGCTGGGCTAGGACTTGGGATTGGGATCGGGGGTACGAGAAAACATAATAGGGTGGGGCGCTTTGCTGCTGCTTTTGAATCGATCCAACGCCAGCTACAGCTGGAGCTTCGTACCACCGAGCTCAACAGGGGTTCTCATTCGTTATCCTCGTTACTCTTGTCCACGCTCAACTGGATCGCTGCTCCATCTTAGAGCTTATGAAAGTTCCATTGGCAATTTCGTTTAAATTATTGTTCTATTCCATAAAGTCGTGAATATAGTGCTAAAGAAGGTATCAGAGATATCTAGTTTCCGCTTATAAAAAATTATTATAGGCTTCCAAGTGTTCAAGGCATTGACTTCCTATAAAGTCTTTCTTTTTACCACTAAAATTACACGTGATTGAATTTTGATTTGTCAGGAATTCAAATATTTTCAATTTGTATATATATAGGTCAAATTACATTGTGTACTCACCATTGTTGTGGAGGATGGAGCCAGGGCTGGTTGCCTCGAGGGGACTACTGGGTTCCTCGGAGCTCGGCTCCCTCTTCACGCTAAAATGAAAACATCCATTATGTATTTACCCGGAAGGAACGTTGCGAACGAGTGTCATCGACATGGCTGGGAAGTAGTCCAAGTTCGAGGCACAAGTTTTCCATGGCCGTGGCCCAGCTTCAAAAATCCAAAATCAATAGTAACCGATAGATAGTCGATTCAATTATAATTGGAGGTCATTTGTGTTACGATCGAAAATCATTTTTAATTAATAAGTTAACCTGTCTGATGTGGCTTTACGGGTAATCACTTTATAAACAGTACATTTTTATTGAGATCAATAGGAATCTCATTGCTCTTAATAGTCGTGAAGAGCTAGAAGATTTGACAAGCTTCTGTTTCGTTATTCTTATTCCTGCTGATTAACAATTTTTAATCGGTTTTAACTGTCTTTTTAAGTAGGGCAGTTTTTAATCCAACGGAATTGAAATTTACCATCAACATGAAGAGAATCGGTTTACGTCGGACATCTTATTAATTTTTAGTATACCGTAGTTCGTGAATTTGCCGCGGGCGGCGCGGCGTTACATTGTTCTTGTATGCTATTCCAGTACATAGAAATCATACAAAAAGCCAGTTATAATCTAAATAAAAAATAATTATCAGTCTTTTTTGACAATCGCGTCAGGTGGTGATTAATTTTGAAATATAATTATGTTTTATCACGGATAAATTGTACTTATTCTACCGTCGTAGCAATTTACAAAAATCGAATCAAATCAATAAAAGAATAAATAAACAGTAAGAAAATTTTAAAGAATCAATTGGAAAACACGTAAATAAAAACAATTTTGTGATGTAGAAATAATACTACACCGATATACGTTATATTAAGAAATTGCGAATGAAAGACACATTGAGGGAAGACATTATATGAAATTGAACAAAGAGACAAAATTCTAGCAGCTTAAAAATACCGTAATTGATAATCGATAAAAACTCAATAACATCATCTTCACTTATGCACAATTCCCTATTTGCTATTCCCGTCGTTACAATGCTAATTGAAAAATCAATCAACATTCAATATTTTAAGAGCTAAATTTAATACACACGTTCTACTTTCCTCTTATCTCCAACATATATCCCTGTTACAGTAAACTTTTAATCAATAAATTAATCAATAATTATTTTCGTAACTTATTGAAAACAATTTCTAGCAAAAATCACCCATGTATTACGTACATACATATATACATACGTATATCCTATAAAAAGCCTATACAAATATTTTTTTAATTGACATTTAATTAAGTCGTAACGCCAGTGCCAGAGACAAATAATTCTTTTACTTCTTAACCTTCAAGAAGATACTCGATCAATGTAAACCGTGTATCTTACGATTTGGTTGTATCACCTGATTTTTCATTTACTAATAAAATGACACTGTTAATAAAAAGTTAATAAAAAGTCATAACAATAGCATCGATATGAATATTTAATCAAACTAAAGTTCAGCTATCGTAATCAGTATGCAATAATTATTAGACAAATTATTAAAAAATTAGATAATTAACACATAAAGTTATCGGGGGTCCTGTTATAAATTACCAAGTTTCCAATATGGAATTATAACGTGATTCAATCTATTCCAGACTTTGCGACTAGTTACGCTACTTGAAGGAAGTTTACGTGATGAACTACGTAAAACGTTACCATAGATCATCTACGATCTCCCTATGGAAGTAAAATGAAAATCTTACTAATATAATATAAAACCATCTGATGCACTTATTACTTAAGTTTCTCTAGTCCATTGATACCTGCACTTTCGAAAGCAAAGCACGCTACGCGCCTATCGAATAACAGATTCCGCTGATCCACGAATAGAAATCCTATTTTGGATCTTGAAGTGCTTATTATCGAGCGACAGCTAATGCCGACTACGTTAAGTGTAGTTCACAGTTCCCGTACTATTATCGGATTTTCTACTCCATGTGACTTTCTGCAAAGACGAAATCACGTTTTATGACACCTTTTAAAATAATCGCACATCTTTGATCAGACGAACGAATCACAATTAGTTATTAGAAAATATGATTTTTTTGGTCATTTTTATACATATTATTTTTTTTCAAAAATTCAAATATACCTTTACTTCATTCACGTTGGTACGATAAATGTGATTTTAATGAATTCATCGATGGATTTGTAAATTAGAAATTATATAGAGCATAGTACATGTATATATATGTATATACATATATATGTTTAATCACGCGACTCTTTTTGAAGAGGAAAAAAAGACCTAGAAGGTTATGTATCCTAGTCTACGGAATTCCACTGCAGAAGTCTCGGAGTCATGTCTAGTTTCAAATAAATGAAACCTGTTCTAGTAAATGTAAAAAGTGTAAGGGACTTTCTGGAAATACAGTAACCGTTCTATCGAGCGGTAACTGAACTACGGAATGTTAGTGCTGCAGAAACTAATCATAGTTCATCGAAGAAGACTCTCAGGGACGTCAAACAGAATTTTCTGATCCTTGGAAGAATCCACTGTCACTGGATGTACATTCATAATTCATTATACGAATCCTTTCATTTTTAATCAACGCAACGGAAAACGGACGGCAGAGCAAGTTCAGATGTACTTAGGGTTTGAATTATTTAAGGCAGACTAGAGTTGCCAGATATATACATACACGCTCTTGTATATATACATCTATAGGTATTATTCGTCTGCTTACAAAGAGAAGACTTTTTTTCTCTTAAATGTAAATGCAACGGGCGGATATATCAACTAAGGCGGAAACTATACTGGATATTCTATTTATCCTCTGGGTGTCTATTTATTTATTATATCCGCTTTGTTTGCAGGAATGTTAAGTACCAAAAAATAGTCTATCTTTAAAAATGTTAAAACTTTACACTCGAGATTTTCCTTTTTTAAATATATTTTGGTGCCTGAGAGAGGACAGTGGAGTGCAACGGGTTAAAATAATCAGCTACTACCACAAGGAATTAGAATTTATCAATGTAAAATTTATTTATCCAAACTGGGATGAAGTTAAGTAATTGTTATAACGGGATATAAAATATATGTGTATTAAGATGCATAAAATTCGTATTTAATTGACATGGTGATCCTGCTTAGAAAAAAAAAATCATAAAATCAAGAAAAATCAGTAGATAAACTGAAGATGGGATGAAAATGAAAAAGTAATAGTTACCTTATAAAGGTTGAATCGGCAGCAGGACTGGAGGGTCTGGGGGATGAACTGACAGTCGAAGCTGAATTCGTTTCCTCCATATCCATCATTGCTCATACCGACGTGGATGAGGTTTCCCGGGATCGGGGGGAAAGGGGCGGCAACGGAAGAAAAATGAACCGACACTGTGAAGTATCGGAAATACTGTTGAGAAGGTAGGGTTAACACTCGCGAGCAATTCCAGTTATGCACTTTCAGTTGGGGATGTAAGACATTAGATTTATTGGATTCGAGGAAGAGGGATGAGTTGAGGGTTGTTGGTTTCACGCGTGTCCGCGAACGCGGCCTAACGGGAAACAACTAACAAACGACCTTTCTCCCACTGTAGCCCCCAACCCCTTGTTATACTGCTGCACCCTTGGTGGCGCACCTGTTCTATATCAAAACGCATGCGCGAGAAATATGGAAATTACCACTACTTTTACTAGCCCTTCGATACGTTTATTTGTATAGTCCAATATTAAAATATCAAATAATCGATTGGCCATAGCTATCGAATGTTTTGTATGAGACAATACATCAATTTATTTTCACCGTCAGAACTGTTTGATATAAAAATTCTATTAGCATTAATTATTCAATTTTCAGCAAATCAAAAAGTTTTACAGAATATCTTGTAGACAATTAAGTATTATTTACTTAGCGGAAAATGTATGATCGCATCGAACGGATGTTATTATGTGTCCAAGAAGAAAGATAATTTATTACGTTTAAACGTCTGACACGGTGCGTTCCTTTGAGGAGTGATACTGTCGTGCAAAAGTCTCGCCTACCAGCAGTGGAAAAACAAGGGATGCTTCGGCGTAAATCTAAAAAAGAGATAGTAACAGGATAAATAATTTTGTTCGTGGTTAATGTAAAATCAATATTTTCACTTGAGATTCTAAAGTAGTTCTTTACTTTTACCGGTGCAGCGTCTTTGCGTATTTTACCCCAAGAAATTGCTTCGTCCGGTCGTGCTCCACTATCACTGCCATCGTACTCAGAGGATGTGTTTAGGAATACTGAAAAATCAGCTCCATTTCTCTGTAATGAAATGATGCCATAACTATTACAATAGAGATGGTCTATTACAAATATATTGCTCACCATTAAATTGGCATTGCATATGTGATGCTTGATGACACCACCTCCGACAATGATCATACCACTGTTTATGGCTTTCATTGCCATTGTATTCAGTCGTTTTAGATCTGTCGAGAGAACACATGAATATACATGAAATTTCTGTTAGTAACTATTGACATTATCATTGTACCTGATACAATATCGACAACTAGTCCAGGATTTCTGTAAGAATGAAAATACATCATGTCTCCTAGACTACCATCAGTTAATGCTGGGCTAAAAACAGGGATTTTGTTTTTGGCTGCCCAGTAATAAATTGATTCCGGATTTCCAATTTCTTCTCCGAGTCTTGTAACTATTTTTGATGGTGTCCAAAGAGTACCCTGATGCAAAAGTAGGTTTTAAATTGAATTATTAAAAAAAATCTTAATAAACGTTTTATATTATGTTTATACCTTTTCCTTCTGTTCAGTCAACATTGCATCCAGCTTTGGCATTACCCAATCTTCGAATAAACAATAATTATCATTTGGCACTAATAAATTTCCTATACGATTAATTCCCTTTTCTCTTAGACGTCGTCCTTCTAAATTGAAATCGCCGACGTAAGTAGGTGCTAAGCATTTTATTAAATCTTCTTCTACGCCACCAGCAGTCGTTACGATACAGTCGATCTAGAAATTGAAGCAAAACAAGAAAAGTGGTCATTTTCTTCGGTAATTTTGAAAATGTCTTCCGCTTAGCGTATATTTCAAAATTAACTGTAAATACTGCTAATATAATTGTATTTCCTGTAGATGCATATGATTAAATAGAAATGCAACAATACTCGCAGTACTGACAATGAATTTCAAAACAGCTCCAGAAATATTGCATATGTAACATTTAAATTGACCATTTTATGTTGAACTAAAAATCTTATGGTGTCCCTGATCCCGCAGGACGCCATGTTTGACGTGTAGCCCAAGAATATGGTACAACTACTCTTTCGTTTTATAAACTCGTCATCCTCCATCGAATCCACCTGATCTTTGGCTAGAGGAATTTTTTGGGCTTCCAACATTTTTCGAATTTCCGCCACAGCCAAACCGAAGTTAGTGGCTTGAAATCCGGAATATTTGTAGCTTTGCAAAAGAGCATGATAATCGATTCCACGGTTCCAGTCGTAACCTGAAAACAATAGCCGACAAATTATTAAGTTAAAACAAAAGAGACCTATAGAAGACAATGTTTATTCATTTTTTAAACCGGAAGTTTACAGACCTACGACAGTAGGAGTACCAGCCGGTAGAGTCGAGCTATGTAGAAGTACAGCGTTTTTCACAAGTTCAGGTACTTTGTCAGTTGGAACAGTATTTTCTTCACTCATATTGTACAATATTATTATGACAGTTATTAATCGCTTGACAAAACACACTTAAGAAATTCCATAAACTGGGTTTCACTACGTTCAATATAGTTTTTACATTAATATAACCTAAAATGCTCAAGTGTCAGTGGAGTCACAAATTTTAAGCTTTTTAAGAAATATCGGAAATCAAATGATTTTATCACATTGAATTTATCTTGATACGTTATTCTTCTTCGTTCTTTGATTTTATAAAATATCGTACGGTCTGTATATTCAATACAAACTAATCAGAATTGGTAAACGGAACTTCATGCCTCAGCTCTGTAAGAACCTGTCATTTGTAAACTATCAGTCGGTAACATTCAACATGTGTAGATATTTCGATTAAGCTCCAAACCTTTACTGGTTTAGGCACTTTATTCAAACGTTTTTGGGTTAATTAAAATGTCCTTGTTGTGATTAAGTCATTATTATTAACGATTGGACATTTGACTATTTAAAAATCTAAAGATTAACTTTAGAAGATTAGCAGAATGAGACAAGGCTGTAAAATCTTTTTCTTTTGTTATGTGGCCAGCGCCTTGACTTCCTAAGAAGACTGTGCCATCTGATGGACACTCGTATAAGCTTTTATTACTTCTATGTCTCATAGATGTCGTACCGATGTCTTAAATAAGTCTAACAGCTTTTCGATCAATGTATGCAAAAACACAGAGTAGCTAAAATTAAACAGAGATTCAACGCGGGATAAAATTTCGTAATTGCTCTTGAATTTATGAGACTTTCAGTTCATGAGGTGCATTCAGAAACCTTACTCAAAATAATTTTTGCAGGCTGCATCTTTCTTTACTAGCGTTATTACGAGAAAGATAGGACAATACCAGATTACATCTTATTAAAGTTTCTGAACGTATTTAGTTACGCCCGCCAAACTTTGAATCGAAACAGAAATTTGAATACCCACAAATTATATAAACTAGTTTTTGTGGGATGGCTTGAGCAATATAAAAATTGTATGTAAGAAATATAATTAAGCAAGTATATTAGATATAAATGTGCTTGAACATTGAATATTATATTAGAAATTCCTGTTGATGATTTTAAACACCTGTACGATAAAATAGATGGTTGAGAACACCTGATACGTAATTGCATATAAGCCAATCAAAGGCCTAGTTTTATATTAACCACTTACTATTTATGAAGTAGCGTTTTATCTTAATAAAGTTTTTTATGTTATGATTTTATTTAATACATCCGTTTAAAGATTTGTAGTAGCAAGGAAGGTTATTTTGATAATCATAAGCAAAATTTCATTACAGGTAAAGGATGTCAATGCCGCTATCTCCTTGTAAAGATATTTTGTAAGTGCCCATGACGGAATTTGTGTTTCGCAATCAAAATTCACTGAAGTATCACGTAATGAACATAAATTAGTATTCCTGAATACAACATTGCATAAAATTAATAACGCCGATTTATTTAAAATATGTTGTGTTTCATTTGTGATTGTTCACGTTCCCTTTCTGTTTATTCATTTTTATTTATTCTCTTCATTTTAGTCTATTTGTTAAATCCTCTTAAGATTACACATAATTTGGTGTGTTATTCTTGTAATGAATTTCTACTTATTTACCAGCAAAAATTTATTGCATTTACCTTTTTCATTTAATATATTGACAACAATATTCTTAATCAATTAATTCGAGAGATTCGGTAAACATAGTTTTGTATTTTTCATATACCGATCTCTCGTTATCTTAAATGTAATATATAAATTAAAGAGGTCATAGCTTAAGTGAAAAAGTAAAATGAAAAATATGAAACAAATTAGGAGAACGATAATGATTCTGAAACTATTGTTGATATGGACGTTTAATTTTATTTAATCAGGATAAATATATTTTGTCACTTATTATTTATCTAATTCCCAACCGATAAGAATCCCAATCAATTTGTCAATATATAAAATACAATGAAATTCATAGGCAACAATTATATCGTTTCTATTTTTACCATCCACTATCGAAGTGTTTTTAATACAATTGCCATTAATTAATTTGTGTATTATTTGACAATATATAATAACTGATTAGACTAAAGTGGCAACTTTACTCATTTTCATGTACCTATCGAGCTGCTATTTCACAGAAACCAGCCAATGCAAACAATAAAAAATAAAGTAGAAAGCGCTTGTAAGAGAGCAGATCCTATACACTATACAAGCTAATTCTAATTCAAGAAAAGATGGAAGTATGTATTCTTTATAATATATATATTCTCATAATTTTACATTTCAATTTTAATACACTCAACATGAATGCATCATTCGTAGAATGCAAAAAATCTCGCGCAATCATTTGTACGTGTCATGGCTACATATGTACTTCGTTCCAGCTAACTTCGCATATCAGGAATGCGTGTTACCTACTGTCTGATAACAATGCCAATTACATTTTGACATACTACCTTCAACTTATCACAGACAGACTATTACTATTACTATTACTTATTAACAAAATCTTCATCATTCATTCTATTCATTTGTTCACACAGCGTATTTTACTCAATAGTATATACCTTTAGATAACAGGTATATACGAAGCTGCAACCTAACCTGATCATTATAATAGAAATAAAGCCAGATCCAAACCATAAAAACTCATTACTACGATATACTATTAAAATAATAAAACTATTTAGTCCTAGTATACATATAAAGAGACCAAGGTGTATAGACAAGATCAATTCTGTCTTCGATATGTAGCGTTCGTGAGACAGTCGGGTAAGTAACTTTCTTAGTAGAACAATACCTTCATTCATTTCAATAATAAAAATTATATTTTTCGAAAAAATCTTTGTTATTCCCAATTCTATGGATTGTACCATTTAAATCTGTACTCAAATTTGCTTACGTTTCATGGGGTTCTGGTCCTGAAAATGATACGGCGTTGCCAATAGCTTCGGAGAAGGACAAGCGCAGCCATGTTGCCGTATCCGCAATGCGCATGCGGCTTGCGATAATTGTCCATGGAGCATGAGAACAGTATCGTCAGTCACTGATTTGCTGGTGTCGCGAACGGAGCCATGAAAGACTTTACAAGTGACGTGTCGTAGCTTTATTGTAGAAGTGTTTTTATTGTATTTCGTACAAAATTCATTAGTTCCCTTTGTAGCCTGTGCAACCATTTAGTGCCGACCTGTTTCGTCGTCAAGAAAATTTCATATAAGATTTACCAACGAACGTCAGGTAAACAGTACCGATTTTCTCGGACTATAAGTCAGATTAGTTAGTCAACTTACCGGCATTGTGATGCAGTTTTTAAAAAATTATATTCTTTTAATCCAATTACCTTTTCTTCTATCAAATAGTTATTGGCTGCTTACTCCAATTAGTCATCGACTGTCATTGGCTATCAACTGATACGAATAATCCCGCGCTCTCCCCTAGCTATACAATTTGGTAAAATTGTACCGGCTTATCTAACCTCCTTTTTAAACAGCCAAATCACGTGAAACATAATTGTATGTGAAATTGACGATTGCAGGGCTGAGTGTGTATCGATTGTGGTACTTCGTATACATTGGATCTCAACTATAATCAAAATTGGTACTACGGGGCCGAGAGTGGGAAATACTTTTGATTGTCAATTGTCAATGATAACTTATATATATAATCATTGAACAGTTTTTATTTAATTCTGACATATTTCTCATTCTACTAGGAGCTACATTAAATTCTTATGACACGCAAAGCTGTTAACTTTATGAATCAAATTAATTAATCAAATTTCTATTAGAATTTTGCACGCTTATCATTAACGTTATACTCTTCTGTAGCTCAACATCAATCACTTCAGTTAATTTAATAGCGAAGTTCAGTTGTTAATAGTTTGCAATTAAGCCGGATTTCTAATCTAATAAATTGCATTATTTGGCCTCAAAGAATTCGTTATCTAGTGGATACAAAAATATTTCGTATTAGATAATACGTTTTTATTAGTAGATACAATTGACTAGATAATGAATGCGCTGTATTAGTACGTGTACTCTAGCCACCCCTTCACCCTCACCAGCCCTATCCCTCAAACTTTATTACTTTTATGGCAGATATTTTTTATTTTTATTTTTCAAGTGCTAAATAAATATCACAGTGCCACACCCCGCATTTATTACTTAAGGACAAATGCAAAAGGACTTATTTCAATATATCTTTTTTCTTATTATTTTCTATTTTATTATTATACCCATACAATATTATTATTCTGAAATGCTAAAAAAAGAATTTCCTAACAAGGAATCTGCTTGAATCGTAAAGCTTTGTTATATCCAGTAGATTATTTTTATTTATCCTGTGTTAGTATATCTTGTAATTATCCTAATATAATTTTAGTACATTCTGTCGAACGACCAATACTTTCGTGGTTTACAGTTATAAGAACAATTATAATGGATTACTGTATTGTTATTAATATATAATCTGATATGTACTTTAACAATATTTTTTAAATATTTTTTTTTAAAGTTTTCGATACCGTAATTATTATTATTATTATTATTATTATTCTGTGTATAATCCGTACACGAGTAAAATAAATTTTGGAATCTTCTTATGACTTTTGAGGTAAAAGAGTCACCTAGACAGAATCTTTTACTCGAGGATTGACTGTACCGTTACGTGACAGAGAAAATTAGATATTGTATTTACACATTAGTTATCCAACAATCGGAAGTTCAAGTTTTAAATGCTGGCTATATTTTCACCCGAGTTAAGTTGAGAGATGAAATACCGTGCGTTGCATATTTATATACTAGTGAACTATAGGTATACATCCAATGTTTTTAAAATCTCATTCAACTGCGGTGGAACAGTCACTGTTGTAATTTAATCCTTGAATCAAAATTTGTGTACATAACCATTAGAATATCAAACTAAATCTATACTTTTTCTTGGTCATTCAGGGAAATTAATTTTTCCATGTATCTAAAACATAAAATTTTATTCTTAAAAAAAATTTTAAATAGAGCATTGTAATTGTTATCATTCTATCATACCCATTCAGTCAGCATAGTCAATACAGCCGTAATAAGAAATCTGAAATAATTAATTCCGTCCTTAAACGACGTCACTTTGATTTTAGTAAATTTTTTAAAATAAAAATTGTAGTAATCCGTATACACGATGATTGTCATTCATAACAACTTTGGAAATTTAATTCTGATTTTTTCCCCTTTAAATGCTGCAGAACATCTTAAGACAATCATTTTTAACTTTCGTGCTTTCAACATGTCATATTTGTTAATTTACCATTTTTGGTCACTTGAAAAACCCTAACAAGATTTTGCGCTATTGACATTTATTATTTTTATGGAAAAAAACGATATAGTTATGTATCAATTCACATATTACATTGATCAATTATTGCAGTTATTCTATATAATTATAAATAGACTCATTAAACGTGACATCAATGTATTGTTATCATCTTGAATTTAGGGTACTGGGAATTTTAATTTATCATAAAAAATAAAATAACATTATTAACAACATACGGAATTACTTATATCGTTGTTTCTTCTCAGTACTCATATGTGATTAGTACAATTCAAAACATCTCGACTCATCATAAAATACTTAAAAGTACTTGCTCCCAACAATAAATAACAAATACGTTTGCAGTATAAGGGTATAAGGTATATATGTATGTATAATTTTTGGTCACCTTAGTACCGTATGTGCCTATAAAATTGATTCATTTGAAAAAAGTTTTACTCGTCCATGAAAAGATAACACTTTATCAAGGAGCCCAGCCCAATTATCAACACTCGAAGTATCTAAACCTTTTTCCCTTAATGTAGCGTCAGTCCTACAAAATAGCAGATAAACAAACAGTAGAAATAGACACGAGTGAGTGAGCATTGAGGAAGCAAAGTTTAGATAACTCGTAACGAAAAGAAAGCATGATCAATAATCACTTTGAAAAATCGTGATGACTCAGTTCCCTAAACAGTGACAAAAAGAGAAGTAGGTAACGAAAAGATTAAAAAAACAAATAGTATGAAAATTGATGACGTCTGTCAGTATGGATATATGATTTAAACTTTCGTGATAGCGAAATGTGGCAAAGGAAAGCAGAAGACTTTGAAGATATAGAAATATTACACTGTACGTGCATCAGGTGCAATAACAATAGTGTTGTACGATTTTTTAAATTTTATGTAAACAATAGTATAAAAGTTTATATATACTTTTTTATATATGTAAACTAGGCAAAGAATGGATGAAGTAAGAATTATCTTAAAATAAACCAAATTCTATACAAAATACATGATGAGGTAAAAGTATAAATTTCAATGTGCAATTTTAATACATAGCATGAATTTGTTGGTCATACTACATTTGAACTTCGATATTATTATTATTATGTGAAGATTTTTGGACAGCAAGCAATAATAAATTATTTATTTTTATTATGAGGGTGGATTCAACTAATAACACAATATTTGGACATCTGTGAAGAAAATCTGTTATAAGAATTAATTTGATTAAATAATATATATTACAATTAGTGTAGGTGAAAAGAATATTTATATTTCTCATTTCAAGAAAAATTTCAGACTGCGTAGTCTGCTATACAAACTAAGTATGCTTCGGCTACTTTATCCTATGTCAAAAGTACAGTGCGAAGAGAAATATAAATTAGACCTCAACAATGATATTCAAAGAGAAGATAAATTTGGAGTAATCACTCTTAAGAGAAATCGAGCATGAACTTTATAACCGAAAATAATGAACAATTGTCTGGACAGCAGCGTTCTGGAACTAATAGTGGCATGGTGATTATTGGAAGTAAATTTATTTGAGTGGCTGATTGGAAACTATTACTCCATGCAATTGCTACCAAAAGCAATCAGCATATATTAAATTGACATATCAGTGGGTGATTATGAAAATTCTTTTGACCCATAACGATACACAAATTAAAATTCTTTAATATAGAGAAGAGCATAAAACTCGTGGGACAAAGTTAAAAGTCAAAATTAATTATTTGATACAATTTCGAAGTCGCATAAAGATTTTTTGTACTTTACTAGCAAATACAATTTTTTTTCTCTGGTATCAGGGTAAAGATATATTACTAACTTGATATAGTGAAATTTCAGAAAGTGAATGATTGTCATAATACTGAAGTAATAATAATAAAATTCATTAAACTTCTCAAAGTATCGTTTATTTTAAATAGTCTTTCAATTCTTTTATATTAAACAGCCATTTACCTTAATTGGTTAATAATATGTATCGTATTATAAAAAATACATGTCAGATTGAAGTCTAGGAATTACTTTTTTTTCATTAGATATAACTTATAAATGTGCAGCAGTTTACAGAAACTGATAATAAATTGTATCGTGCAAGATACTCGTATAAGTTGTTTTACATAAATCCCATTAAATTATATAAAATTAATAATTATTAAATGATTGTGTTTGGTTTACAGATAATATTTCCTGAAATGCCGATCAAGAAAATCTGTGGTATTGGAGCAGGTTACGTGGGTGGTCCAACCTGCAGTGTAATAGCCCTAATGTGTCCAGAAATTCAAGTTACAGTCGTTGACAAAAGCAAAGACAGAATTGCTCAGTGGAATTCTGAAAAACTACCTATTTATGAACCACGACTCGACGAGGTCGTGCGAACGTGTCGGAACAGAAATCTTTTCTTTTCCACGGATCTGGATACAGCCATTATGGAAGCAGACCTGATCTTCATATCAGTGAATACGCCAACGAAGACGTTTGGCACTGGAAAAGGCAGAGCTGCCGATTTGAAATACGTCGAGAGTGCGGCTAGAAAAATAGCGGAAATTGCAACGGGTGACAAAATAGTTGTTGAGAAAAGTACTGTGCCGGTTCGAGCTGCAGAAAGTATTTTGAATATTTTGCGTGCGAATCATAGACCTGGTGTCTCTTACCAAGTGAGTCTAGGAAGGAGACTATTAAAAAAGATTCTAATCTGAAGATTTCACTTTGGATATTTATTATAAGGATATCTGCTTGTATATTTTATAACATTTTTTATCTCCAACTATATGGAAACCAAACTGGTAAAAAAGATACTTAAATTATATTGCATTCTGTTTTTCTGAGCTTAGAATTCAAAATATATTTCTCTTTACATCAGACGTCAAATAAAATTTGTTGAATTGTCTTCTATTTTTTTTTTCATGATTTAAATTTAGAAGGTTTTGAATTTCCTTGGTAAAAGTAAGAGCTGTTATTTATTTGTTACACTATTTCTTAGTTATTATAAATAATTATTTACTTTGTGCCAATAGAGAATTTCCATGTTAAATATATGAGGATTGTTATACGGAACTACAGCAATAACTTACTTAACGCGTTTGTTTTGCATACAACTTATTTAATCACCAACAATTTTCTTATTATCAATAATTGTTACGTCAGAAATGCTTATTACATTTATGTACGTGTCTTTTAAAATCTGCTGCTGCTACTACGTGACATTTAACTCGTATATAAATTACATACAATGTCTCAGATAATCTATACTAAATAATTGCACGGTTTCGTTATGATCATGAAAGTTTTGAGCATCGATATAAGTAAAAAGATAATAAAAAGAAAACAAATTCAATAAACTCATAAATGTCGATAAGCCGTACTTAATTCTTGAAAACGTAATAAATTTCTAAGCTGCTGTAATACCCTAGCAAACCTTATATAATAGATATAATACCGATTTGCTAAATATTATTTACAGTGAAAAAACGAATGAAATTCTGTATATATTCATTTTAGATCCTATCAAATCCGGAATTCTTAGCGGAAGGAACGGCGATCGAAGATCTTCTGAATGCTGACCGTGTGCTCATAGGAGGTGAAGATACTCCAGAAGGTCACGCAGCAGTAGAAGAACTCTGTAAGGTCTACGAGCACTGGATACCACGTAAAAACATTTTAACAACCAACACGTGGAGTTCCGAACTTTCTAAACTGGTATGTAATGTCATAATTAAATTAGAAGTCGAAGACCTTATATTGACTTATAATAAAACTTTACTTGAATCCATGGATTTCAGGCTGCTAATGCATTTTTGGCACAACGTATATCAAGCATAAATTCACTATCAGCAGTATGCGAAACTACTGGAGCAGATGTGTCTGAAGTTGCACGAGCAGTTGGTCTTGATTCCAGAATCGGTTCAAAGTTCCTTGAAGCATCAGTTGGTTTTGGTGGTTCCTGCTTTCAGAAGGATATACTCAATTTAGTTTACATTTGCGAGTGTCTAAATCTTCCTGAAGTTGCTGCTTATTGGCAGCAGGTCATTGACATGAATGAATATCAAAAGTCCCGATTTTCCGCGAAGGTCATCGAATCTCTTTTCAATACAGTTTCGGACAAGCAAATCACTATACTTGGATTCGCTTTCAAGAAAAACACTGGCGACACCCGCGAATCGCCTGCGATTCATGTCGCGAAAACTCTGCTCGACGAAGGTGCTATGTTGCATTTATTTGACCCGAAAGTGAGTTGCTTTCTTTTTTTTTTTATACTCAAGAAAATATATTTGTCTTACTCTAGCAGATTGAGCTAAGCATGCACGTATCTACGTTACGTTATAATTTTCTTACAGGTCGAGGAAGAACAGATAATCGAAGATTTAACTCATCCTACGGTGACGGATTGTCCAGAATATGTGAAAAGTCGTGTCACTATTTATCAAGATGCGTATACTGCCACAAGGGATACCCACGCCATTGTCTTGTGCACAGAATGGGACGAATTTAAAGTATGTTCCCCAGTTACCTATTATCAATCGAAATCACTTTGTTCTATTACATTGTCGATGTACGTTTGATTTCTTTACAGACTCTCGATTATAATCGAATTTACTCAGAAATGATGAAACCCGCGTACATCTTTGATGGAAGGAAAATCCTTGACCACGATGCTTTACAAAAAATCGGATTTATAGTACAGACAATCGGCAAGAAATTGACGAAAACTACATTAGCGGGCTCGTGGGATAGCTGAACGTGAATATAACAGTAAGAACTTTATCGCTCTAACTATAAAATATTGTATTGTAAAATAAGTATTTGATAAGTAAAATCTACAGTATAGTTTTACGTACGTTTGTACAAATTCACATTTCATTAATTAAGAATTACTTGATCGTTATTTAAATCAGTACAAGTAATTAAGGAATAATATTTCTTTTAGATGGAGCTAGGTATACATGCATATCTATGCCATGAAGCAATTTCCTCTGATCCTATGAAGCGTGTAAGATAAACAAGCGATCGATTTGTGTCCATCGATAGAAATGTAGAAATGAGTAGCTACTGGTAAATAATTGTATAGAATAATTTACAGGGCTATCTTATAATTTATAATGAAAACGAAAAATATTTTTACAAGATTACAGACTACAGACACTATATACAGACATTTATCTATTATATTAGAAGTGTCTACTTTTTGTACTTTATATGACAAAATCGTTATTCTATTTTTGTTTGCTATTAATGTTACTGGCTAAACATAGAATGGCACTTACAAGGAACACAATTATCATATTAACTTTTGCAACAATACATTTTTGGAAAAATTCTTAAATGACCGATTGCATTATTTAAAAAAATCGTATGTGAATCGTGAATACACTGCATTTGATTTTATTCATTTCTGTCAACCACAAGAAAAATGTGGTCTCAACTTGATCGCTTTTGGACCAGTATTTACTCAAATTCCTCAATGTAATTTAAATCTAATATTTTTGTACGAAACAGATTCTATCTGTTAGTCAATAAGAATTATTATTGGATAAAGGTAATGTCTAGGTAACTACATGTACTGGATAGTCCGCTAGAATTATAGAATACCATCTAATTATCTTCTTTTGAATTGACGTTACGCTAGTTACATATTAACATACATTGTTTCTAGTGGATCATCCTGTACAGTAATGGCGAACATCATTGCGGTATCTAAATTTAAGTAGTCAGACTATATTAGCAGGACATAAATAGTTATCTTCGTAGTTATAACAATCATGGCCATTAACAAAGGTTCTTTAACTCTTTAAGTAAGGAAAGTTATTAAGTTATTCTTTGCTGACCTTTGCTTGTATTCAGACCTAAACTTATCACTTGAAGTTAGTCTCCTATTTGATTCTTATGAGAAAATCATTTCAAGTGGTATGTATGGATAGTATTAGCCGTTACATACAAATATGAAATAAACTTTTATAAAATATAAAGTGAATATGAAATTTTATCGAGAAATATTAATTCTCAAATTCATTGGGTTAATAAGCCGAATGGGTGAATGGGTTAGAGAAATAAAAAGAGAGACGAAAGTCATTGAAAAATTAAAGAGCAATATGACCCATTAGGTTAACCCATTCGCTGCTATGTACTTTTATTTAACACGTTTGTCGCGCATTGAATACTGCGAGTATACGATGGCTACAACAACAGCAATGCATAGCAGCGAAAGGGTTAATGAATATTTCATGACATAATTCCAGAAATTGAAGATCATGATTATGATTAGTCAATAAGATGGTGTTAATTTATTTAAATTATGACACCCTTAATTTTAGATTATACCAATAGTTGCGAATTGATATGCGAGTCGTATATATATTATATACAGGGTGTTTCGTTAAAAATGGGGTTCGAGCGCGAGGTCACAAATTTCCTTGGCCCATCACAACAAAATTCGCCATTTTAAACGAAACACGTTATATTTTTTCATTATATTTATACACAACGTTCTTGAAAATTCATAGTTTGTTCAAATTATTTATAAATAAATATTTTCGAAAAAATCCAAAAAATATTATATTATAATAAAATTCAAGCCTGTCACTTATTCGTGAACAAGTATAGATACTAGTAAGTTGTCAAACGATTATTTTAAACGTAAAAAGTTGTACAATTAAATGCAATAATTACATAAAATTATATCGATGAAAATTAAAAATAATTCATTTAAGAGAAAACAATTTAGACTCATGACTTTTGCTAGTGGTACTTAATAAATAATATTTAAAAGTCAGCAATATCGAGATAAATATCTATTGCAGTAATTTACGATAATGCGTGAATCAATCAATGTCTGCGGTATACAATAAAATAATAATAATCATTTATGAATTTTACTTAAGACATGGATCATTTATGACAACTCGTGAATTAAACGACAAACGTAGTCTTCTTGATTTATCTGATAATCCGGTTGCATTCCATTGTAAATAATAATAATAAAACTTGTATATATAATAATGATTCAGATATATTTTTTATAAATTAAATTGTAAAGATTGCTCTAGTCACTTCATTTTTGTTCCTCCCCGTATGTTAAATTGTATTATCCAAAGTAAATAACGCGTATAATTAATAAACATGTTTCTTTCAAATTAACTGTATTCATAAGACTTATAAAGAAATTTATAATAATGTAATGAATATTTGTCAAAATGAAAGATGACGCAATAGATTCGATTTTTATAGGTATTATATAGTAACAATAAAAAACATCATGCTAATAACCGATTTACATATAGGAATATATACACTTTGCAAAGTAATAAAAACAAGGCAATAAAGATACGTATTACAATAAAATACGTATTAAAAACAATTATTACGATGGAATCTGTGCTTATACATATATGGTGTGCCTTAAAATAAAATTATAGAAACCCTTAACAACTTTAAAACATTAATTTAATGCTTTACAATTAGACAAAAAAGAAGAATTTATCATAAATATGCGCATGGAAAATTTCTTATTGCGTATATGTGGTATTACCTATACTAAATGTGTTTGTTGAATTGATTTTTGTACTCTATAGTCGTTATACATATATACATAGCTAATGTAAAATGTTTTTCTATCGAGTGCCAATCGCATTATACACACATTTTAAACTAATTCTTTGTCATATGGAATGAAATTGTGATAACAAATAATCGCTAATACAGCGATTAGTTGGATCGACGCGAATGAAAAAGATTTTAAGTTCAAACAATTCGAAATGCTACTTAATGATTTTATGTTTCAAAAATCAATTGGTATTACATATATAAAATTCGTGCAATATTTCAAAATTTTCTCTTTCGTGTATCAATACTTTGAACATAAATTTGTATAAAAGCATGATAAATGGGCTCATAATTTGAATGAATAAACCATCGGTCGACTTACACCGTAAATTTTAGCACAGTTCACTCATAAAATTAGAATCATCCCAGTGTAATAGAATGATATATCCACACTACATTTATCACGTCTACTTAACACTGAACAGAAATTGACAATAATATGAGAATATCAGACATGCGTTCTTACGACTCAGATTGACATAATAAAAATCCAATTGAAATTTGAAAATTGGAATTCTCATAAGCAAAGTGCGTCTAATATTCCTATTAAGAGTCAGACTATGTTTAATTGTTCAAAATTAAAATTCTAAATCGTAGTTAATATATATATATATACACATGTATACAACAATGGCAACTTACTGGATCTTTAACTAGGTTCAATCTTAGTCAACTTTAACCTTTAACGAAACGTGCGGGAGACACGCAATGCTATGCAGAAATATTAAACGCCATATAGAAGTATACAGAAGGATATGGGAGTAAAACGGAGTAAAACCAAATAAAACAGGGGCCAGAAGAGTCGAAGCTAAGAAGAATGTAGAGGCACGCCGTGAGCGTAGACTTATCGAGGATTCGAGCCGGCACTTGCTCGTGTCATGGCGCCGTGTGACGAACCACTTATAGCAGCACGTAATAAAGTTCTTGACAAATCTCGGAAAAGCATCGGAAACTCACTGTGACAAGGGTATACGAGTGTCGAGAATGTTATTTTGTTGGTGCAGGCTCTTCGCAAAGGCGATTAAGTGCGCAGTGAATGTGATATAAGATCGATTCGGAGCAAAGAACTAAGCGTCGAACTGCGCTCGTCCTATCTCATAGGAAAATGGCCGCGTGCTGTTCGCAAAAACGAGCGACAATCCGGAACTTCACGTAATATCGCGTGTCTAGTGAAATTAGGGGATCAAACAAGATCACAGATTTGCATTTGATTGTGCAGCATCCGTTTCAACGTTAATGAAGTGTAGCTAGAAGTGTATGTTGTGTCAGTGCGGGATGCGATGTTGAGGTTGCGGTGTTAGTACTTGGTATCGTGGCTGTGCTAGCGGATACCGCTGTGCTGGCAAAGCTACCGGATGAAGTGCAGATACAAAATTGTTTTGTCGCGATGTAAAGAGGTAAAGGAAGAGTGTCTTTCAGCAAAGAGTAACAAGCAGCGTTAATTAAAAAAAAGTGTAAACTTTCATGCGTGCTACTCAAGTGACAAGATGATTGGGGCGTATCGTTGTCGGCGTCGTTGTTGTCGCTGAAAATCAGTGAAAGCAAGGCTAACAAGTCTAGAAGAAGCAACAACGAGCCGGCAAGGTTCTGGACCAAGAAGATGAGAAGAAGCGCGCTCGTTGGCATCTCGGGCATGCTTGCCCTGCTCCTCCTTCTTTTACTTAACACCCTGTCTTTGATCGAAGGTACGCTGATTATTTATCTCAGGGCTATCATTCGTATATTTCCAGTTGCTTTACGATAACACGTATATTACGTCTGATAGAAGCTGCTCCATCTGTTTATGACGATGCTTCCAGGAAATACATAAGATCGATATCGTACAAAAAACCGACATGTTTATCTTGATATCGCCTGCTTGTTGATCACGGCTGCCGCTGCCACCGTCCCGCCACTTCCACGATACTTTCGTTCCTACTATTTGCTCGATTTCCTACCGACGTAACGCAAAATCATTCATGTTTACATAATATCGCAAGTTACTTCTATCTTCAGTTCATTACACAGAGCCTGTCAAATCTATCGAAAATTCGTAAAGCATCAATTTATATATACTCATGCTATGAGATTCACTTTACATTGGGGAATGACATTCTTGTGGCCTTTAACATGAAATAATCCTCTTTATATAGAAATAATGCCGTGGTTTGGTCAGCTGGTTATATTAGAACGCTCAGCACTATGTATTGTCGAAGCATAAACCATATTATATTTCTCCTCTGATTTGCAGCTGTGACAGACACACATCTTAAAGTCAAATAAGCACATAGTTGTTTATTCATCCACTTTGTAACGCCAACTGCGGTTGCATAGCAAAAAGAAAATTTGCGAGTGTTCCTTTACATTCTCTTCATTTCAATGTTGTTGTTGTGTAAGATACATAATCCACTAGTGGAATATTCTCTTGAGTCATCTTATAGAACGCGATGGAAACAAATGTTACAAATTCAAAAAAATTCTTTGAGCACTCTATGAATTTAGTGGTCTTATCTTACTAAGTGTCTCTCTTGGATCCACACAGCACAAAACTAATCACGTCATTATCGCAGTACATTATAAAAAGATATGAAGTGCACGTGCGAAGTGATATTTTTTCCTATGATACAATTTAATCGCAATTTCAATATCTGCGAACGTCATATAATATTTTTATCGCTTAATTGCAAAGATATTCCTATCTTATTTATCATTACACGATTTCCATGTTTATTTCCTTTTTTTTCTTATTGATATTAAAAGTATTATTATAATACATCAAATTCATTCTTTCTCGTATTATATTTTTTATTCTTACATGCTATTAATATATTTCAATCGTAACATTGAACTCACGACAAAAACACGCAGATAAATGCGTATGACGCACAATTGATCAATATCTGGCACATTTAGATGCATCGCACCACCAGTTTCCTGCTTTGCAAAATTTATAACGCTACTACGGTATAAAATCGACTACTTTTTTACGAAGTAATTAATGCTGTGCTATCTCAATGAATAATTGATCTCTAATTTTGATGGCGAGACGACGCTAAATGAAATTTGTCTCCGTCATCATTAATCGTACATACTGTAGCTATTTTAGCCTCGTTACATGTCACTAATAAAAAAAATCCTTTTTCCTTATTTTCCCATTCTGAAGTATTATTATGATCTTCTGAGGGCGTTTCCTTCGTAGTTTCGAGTCTCGCAATAAGGGAGAAGAACGCGATGTGGGCGTCCGCTAATGACTTGAATTGAACTCGTTTCGTTAAGTCAACTATTGCTAGCCAGATCCTAAAGGGAACTAGCAATATGTTAAGCAGTCTGTTGTGGTATCTATTATCTGGTGGAGACAAATTTCAGTATTAGTTTAATATTGCAATCATGAATTTTTGTTTTATACGATGAAGTACATTTTTCAAAGATCTTTCGATTTCACATTTTACATTCTTTTTGTAATTTTCTGATTGCGAGACGAACGTAGTTACGCATGCTAGACGTATACATTAAGCAGCTATGTTATTATTGGCGTATTCCTCTTTTTCAGTGTTGTGCCAGGTGTCACTCAATGCCGTGTTATGCTCCCTAGTAAAAGGAAATTGTAAAGCTTGCGCAACTGTAATGCTTTCGTATTGTATGCGTGCATGCGCATAAGATACTACACCACGTGGTATTACATAATTATAAAGTGATTTTGCATACATCTCACTCTTGATTTTAATATATTATCTATTTTCATTTGTCCAAAACGCACCCATTGCTCGTTCTAGTTGAAAACCAAGTTTCTGCACGTACTTGAAACGACATGCAACCGACTCTCTTGATTGAACATTTGTGTGTTATATGTAATATGTATATAATTTTTCATAAGCAATTCATTCAACGGTTCAAAAAATGGCCTACGATGTTTTTGTTGTCAAGTTGATAATATCTTAGGATCCTTATATTATCTTTTTCAACCTGTTTTTGTTTCAATGAGTTCAAGAAAAATGTAAGAGATACAATAGATACAGTGCGCTGAAAAGAATATTTCAATTCAAAAAATGTTGAAGTTCATTTAGATAAGTATTCTTGCCCACTGACACTATTGAATTTTGCATTTAAGTTCATAATATTATCTTCTTTCATTTCATTTGATTAAAATGAAATATAATTATGATTATGTAGAATTCAATTACAGAAGTTTTAAAGTGGTACTAGAATAATGCCTTTACTAAGAATAATTCTTCGAACCATTCTTCGTTATAGGCAATAAAAAGCTTTTAATTATTGTTTACATATGCAGTGGTTACAAACAGTTTCTGAATTTTTAATACTGGAATTAAATTATTTCCACCTGTCTGAGCTACCTTTTTTTTATCTTTTTTTGAGATAATACACTCTATAACCTGCAATAACATATTAATAATACTATGGGAATATAATAATTGGTAATTTTTTAATTAATTTAAGATTTGTTTAATTGATATAATTTATGTATGTTTTAAAGCATTTCAATAATGAAATGCAGATACTTCTCACTCTTATAACAAGATTCTTGCGTAGCATTCTGATAATCTTTGTATTATTCTTATTTCAAATTGATCCATTAACAGATATAAATGTTTCATGCTTAAATATGGTGGAAAACCTTACTATCGAATTGAAGATAATTATATCTTAACGAAAGGATCTAAACAGTTAGCCTAGCCTTCGAAAGGATTTCTCAATCAATCTGCAATTTAGGTACCTATTAGATTCAATTTGAAAAATATATATTATTCCAACTCTATAGTTTCAATGTCAGTGGAAAGTTTTTATCACTTGTTTGTATTTTTAAATGATAAAAAGATAATGCTTAAGGAATTGATTGTTGTAATAGTGAACCTATGATACTTATTGACTTTAATTTCTCATAATTTTAAAAAAAGAATAGCCTCTTAGACCTCGTATTTTTCTCATTAATTGACTAGTTGTAAATAGGCGATATCAATTGAAATACAATCAGGAATTGTAATATGCATGTGTAGAATTATACATATGATAACACATAACTAATTTCACTTAATAAAGTTTCTGGCTATATTAAAATTTGATACAAATGTTATGAAAATATTCCAATTGCCAAATAAGAGACATAATTAAATATAATATTATAAAATGCAAGTGTCTAACGGGTGCTTTGCATAGTACACATAACAATTAAGTTATTATGAATTATAAAAAGTCTCTTTCTATAGATACATAATTGTACCATATGTTCAGGTACCATATCTTCAGGTGCATATATCAATGTATAATTCAAATTTTTAGTACACACAACATTATTCTTGTAATTTTTATAAAGTTGAATTTCATGCTTTTTAATATTGAGTAATTTCTTATGATCTATATTCAGCTAATTATATAATTTTAGAGTTTAACAAGTTGACTGAAGCTTAACTTGCCGACATTGAAGTTTTGCAAACCGAAATGCGTTTTAATCTCAGAATTAAATTAGAAGAAGTAAAAAAGAAAGATTTTATCACAAACCTAATTCAAGTTTTATAAAGTTTACTTTCTCGAGGAAACTCATGTAATTTAAGAGATTTCTGCCTTAATCCCAGATAGCAACATTAGTGTAAATATCACAGCAACCAATCACCATTGTATGAATTGTTGGCAAAACCATAAAAATAGGTATTCTCATTTATTGTCACATCTGCAACAATACATAGTTACAAATGTAAACAATAAATTAATACCAAATTGTTTGCAAGGCTTTCAGTGATGTTATACAGTTGCTCAGAAAAAATTCATAGCAAATTCTTACACACTTTGCAATCTAAAAGAAGCAACTGCACTCGCTGCATGTTTGCTCTGATAATTTTTTTATTTCCATTAAAGTATATTCTCAGAAAACCCTGTGCTGGAAAGTAAGTCAACTGCTTTGCACAGACACATTGCGTTATCCGGGATATAAACGAAATTTCTTTAAATACTCCTACAGTCCACCGCGTAGCACAGTACACTGATTAATATTCTATACAGAAATTATTAATCATGACCCTGCTTATCGTCGATTATTAAAACAAATAGTAAAATATACTGCGTAGTCTATCGTATCGAGTGAAATCGCGCTCATTAAGATATTTTATCTGAAAAAAAATATGATTCTTGCTAAATGCATTATTTGAATTGCAAATAACAGCATACCGACTTCGTTATCCGATAGTCTGTTTATATCTCAGTATACATTAGAATTATATAATGAATACGTAGTAAATACTGCATCTGCATTGAAACTTTTGAATTTTATTTTTTCAAAGAGAAGCGACGCAAACGGAACGTAAGCTGATAAAGTAATGCGACTCCAGTATCCGTTTCAGAAATCTTCTTTCTGCAATGTGTTTTTTTTTTAATCTTTCATCTTATCCTGATAAAAGGATAGTGTTTCATAAGTTTCTTTTTTCCATTTCATCATATACCTCGCTATAGTGTTTAGTTAGCTGTATTATTTTCAGGTTATTCGAATGGAAACAAAAGTTGATAAACTCAGGGTCCTATCCCATGTATAGAAGACAGAACAGGAACGACGGAATCGGAAAAATAATTTGGCGGGGGTTGACCAATCATCTTCGTTCAGAAAATGTCAAACGATGCACGGGTTCCCCATGTACCATATTTTTTAGAAAACGGGCAAAAATTTTAATCTTAAAATTTTGATAAATTTTACGAATTTCAAATCTTCGCATTTCAATCTATGCAATCTTATAGATAATATTTAATGATTTTTCTAACAATATGTGCCCTTAATATTGATTTTTATGAACGAAAATTGATTTTTACACTTTACGAATTACCGTTTTTTCTTCTACATGGGGAACCCGGGCATCGTTTGACATTTTCGGAAGAAAGATGATTGGTTAACCCCCGCCAAACTATTTCTTCGATTCCGTCGTTCCTGTTCTGTCATCTATGCATGGGAGAGCACCCTCACATGATCCACAATTTGACAAAGACACGAGTGGCTTCCTTTGTTGACTATAATTTACATTGCCCATTGTAAGACCTAGGCGTCCCATGATTAATGTTGTATCGATTCCTTTGATTGGCTAATATTGATTTTTTTTTTTTAGGATTGAAATGCCACTGCGATGCCTGCAAAGATGAAAATGACACCTGTGTGACAGACGGTTACTGCTTTGCCAGCACCACTCTGGAACATGAGAATATCGTATATGCCTACAGGTAACGAATTTCGACAATCTCTCGTACTTATACCAAAAAATTTACTCGAGTCTTGAACTTTTTTGTACTTAATATTTTTATCGACGTATTTGCTGCAAATGCGCCATATACACAGTCATGCAGCATCTTTGGATTTCAATATCGTCTTTATATCGAAAATTTATTTAACAGCTGAGACGTTAGCTGATTCTTCGAAATTTCTCGTCGTTCCTTTTCTAACGACGGTTACCTATTCACGCTCCTTGACCTTGAAAACTTTACGCCTGATCCTTTTTTTCTATCTTCACTCTTCCGTTCTTTGTCGTACAGCAATACATATATGTTAGATGATGAAAAGTCATGTTTTAATCTCGAATAGTTTAGGTATCCCAATATTAAGAAGTAAACGAGGGTAAGATTCGAAAAATCGAAAATCAATATTTTTTAGTATAGTAAAAATGAAACATTTTCAGTAGTTTTTAATAAACGCGTTTTCGGGTAATGCTAGGACGTAACTTTTATTAGAATCGTATGGTTTTACGGATAAAGGAAAAAATTTATGAAATTCTCGTATTTGATAAAGCAAAATCAATTTCGTTTTTGTACTATGCACGAGTTTCAAAATTTACTACGTGTACTGTGAGTGCTGCTAATTCAACACTGTGTCTCTTTTCGGACGCATGTATCTGACGAAGACACAGTGATCGGTTCCCAGTACTCGTAATATTTGCAGTAGAGATTTTCGAGACACCCTATATAAAAGCAATTTTTCTGTGTAATATATTTTCCATTTTTTTTTAAATTTCATGAGAGTGTTTAATATTTATATTTTTTTTTTTTTTTTTCAAAAATTATTCTGGTATTTGTAAGCTGATTACGTAGGTCAAAAGCAACGATGAAAATTAGCATTGAATATAATGCGCTACTTGTTTTTCAAAAAATAATCGGTCAACCTCCTTTTCAACTGAATTTATTAAATTTTGTTTTCAATTAAATAATTCATTCATTCTCAAGCACTAATATTAACCCCCACCTGTCAAACTGTCATCAATTCGACTGACGCGAGCGACGAAACTGCAATTTCACGTATACAGTTTCCCAGTATGCTATCAGACCAATTAGCTTCGTGGAAAAAGGAGACTTTTTGATTTATTTATGAAAGATGATAAAAATTTTTCAAAATCCAATCACAGCAACATAAAGATCCAATCAAAATTGTATATTATATGCAACGGAACAATAATTTTGATTATATTCGTATATTTCGAATTTTTCTTTGAACATGCTCGAAGAAATTATAGAAATTTAATAAATCGTTGCAGCAAAAATTTTCTTTTTTATTTTTTTCAATTTTTTTTTAATACTCTGCTAAATCTATCTTTGATTTTTATACTCTACGTGTACTATTTGAAGACCTGCAACCAATCAGCGACCACGTATTTTTGTAAATCGACTTACAAACTTATTCACTCTACCACTTTCTTAAATAAGGTTTTTTTTGGAATATTGAAAATCGTTTCGAAACACTTACCTACGAAATTCTAATTGAGACCGGTACGTCTAATATAAAAAATCGGACAGACGTTAAAACCCGTATAAATAATTTGGAGCCTTATTTTGATCGTGGTTTTAAATTCATTTATAATAAAGCCACTATGTATTTTATTGGGTCCAATACGAATCCCCCTTAGATTCGCGTAATGACAGAATAAAAAAAATCGTCAAAATGTACAATAAATTTATAGAAAAAAAATGTTAAAACAGTCGGGTTGGATTGGTATGAAAGTAAAGAATTTAAAAACCAAGTGGAAAATTGGAACGAAGCAAAGACTTTTGCGCACGTGGGGGTAGCCAAATTTTATCTCAACCTTTCGCAAATAGATATTTCTTCTTGTTCCCTGAAATATCAATTTTTGTTAAATTGGCATGACAAAAAATAAGGAATGGTGGAAGTCAATGGAATTGAAATTAATCGATGATCTATCGTTGATTCATGGCTACGTTTTATATTTGCGTCTTATCATTGGCTACGCGTAAATTTGAATGCTTGTTGACAATTTAAATTTCAAATAATTAATAAATATGGAGTAACCGCTTTCCAAATGTTTGAACATGAATTTTATATGATATATTATATAATTTCATCTGTAATGATATTCCTTATGAAATTTGAATTTGGACTGAAAAAGATTCCTCATTAAAATATTGCAATTTCATTCATAATGTCTTTCGTGGGATTATAAAATTCAATATGTACGTTAATATTCGATGGAGAAGAGATGTAATAAATTATCGAATCTCCATATATCTTTGAAGGGAAATAGGTTTAATTTACTTTGCCTAATTTTATGTAAATCTTTATCACTTATTAATATTACGAGGGAAGAGATTACAAAAAGAACTCGAACGTAAAATCACTGTACTCACTAAGATTTTTAAGCAAGGAGAAAAGTAATTTCGAACGAGACCACGCAGAATAAAGGTATTCAAAAAAAAAAAAAAGTGGACTATTATATTTTTTCTCTCGTAAATCTCTATTGAGCAGCAACAGTCGTCCGAAAAATTTGTTCTAAAAAATTTAATTAGCTTCATTCGTCAAATCCATTTACAGCTAAAAGCAATTCATATCATAACGCTGTATGCGTATCTTGGTACCAGCCAACTTTTAAAGTTTTCCTTGGAAATGGAAAATTTCTGTTAATTGGAAATCTTCAAATAATGCTTTTCATTTTTGGTACAGCGTTGCCGAGTCCAAATTTTTGATATCGCACATCTCTCAAAATAGTCTCGTGGTTACGTGACTTGATTCTGATCCAAAATTTTGGTGTCTCGATCAAGTATAGGATACGCGGTGGTAAAATGGAGTGCTGGGACAAGATGGGGTAACGTCAAGAATTGATTTCAAAATGATTTTATTTCTTGCTCGTTTGTGCCTCTAAATATTGTTACGTATATCTAATTATATTAGAAGCCCTAGACAGCGCGTATAAAGATATTGAAGAAAAATAGTGAAATATACAGAAGAAAATGTATTTTTTATTCACGGATCAAGAACAATAAGAATACGGCTTTTGAGTTTCTTTCACGCGTATTATTTTCATTGTCTTCAAAGTTACCCTATCTTGCACCGTCTTCCTCTAAGTCCAGTCCCTTCATTAACAGTAACAATGGAACAAAGTTGATCTAGTAAAAACAAATAAGAATGACTTATATTTTTGTCAATATTTTTTGCCAATACAGTTCTTTCTTAACAGAATCAAAAAATCAATAAATGGTGCAACGATGATAATCCTGCATTCTCCACTACTATACATCAATTAATGGTATCGGTTTAATGATTCCTCCAGACTTAGTATTTCCAATATGCTGATAGAAGATTTTCCAAATTCACCTTCATAAATTTTGCCTTTTCAAAAACTTTTATAAACATGGAATAAATGCTTGTTATTGTTATTATCCAAAATCATTGACACGTTTGGAACGGATGGACTGATCGAGGCATAACTAAAAAAAATTAATATTCGTAGATTAAAAAAAAACATATGTAAGGATCGCCCTTTAACTCAATAACACACATTATATTCTTATTGGCAAATTATTATCCCCTCGTGTCTTAAAATTTTTTATAAATATTGAAAAAAACGGTAAACAATACGGGAAATTAATTATTGACATAGAACTACTCAAAATTATGATCCAAAAAGGAATTCGTCTCGGTTCGATGTTCTGATAATTCGTTTTGACATCTTCACTTGATTTTCTTTATTTATTCGAAGAAAGCGACGACACCTAAATGTTAATGAACGCTCTGTACTAAGTTATGAATTATAATGTTGTGAAAAAGGTGCCTCAACCGAAGCAAATGGCTTCCACCGGAAAACCCGATCTTCTGCAACCGCAGACCCAGCGTCGAACTCTCAGTGCAATGTTGCGCTAAAGAATACTGCAACTTTAAATTATATCCGGTTTTACTGTCTCACAACCTGCCCGAATTGTCATCAGGTATTGAAAGAAAAGAAAAGGAAAAAAAAAAAAGGAGAAAGTTGGCCAGCAGTGTGTGGCGTTTCAACAAGTAACGTTAGACAACCCTTTTCGAACCCTCAGCTAACCTCAAAAAACAACATCGACGGCCATTAACAATATTATTAACTGCATTATTTGCGATGACCGAGGAGCTTTTAGTGTTTCGTACCGAAAGTAGATAACATAACACTTATGGGTTCAACATAGTGTCTGTTTGTCTGCCTGTCTGTGTATTCGTCACACGCTTTGTCCCTAGCTCGATTTTCGAAAATTATACAAAAAAGTGACAATTTTGAGAATTCGTAAAAAGTATGGAGGTTATGCAAAAATTATGCGAAACTTTGAGGTACGCAGTTTTTGAGACAAAAAAATTCATTATTTACAAAAATCAACGTAACCGTAGATTAAATTTTTCAAAAAGCGAATAAACCAATTTTCAAACCGTTAAGCTCCCCCCTTGGTTTCACTGGGTACGGAACACTAATCGCGCGAAGCCCGACTGGCAGTTGACCATTTTTTTTTGTTTCTTTTACACTGTGTCTCCTTTCATAAAATAATGATTTAGGCTTTGAAGTGTCATGGGAGTCACGTTCGATTTGTAGTGTTTAGTACCAACTGACTGCATTTGGTTGGACGTTTGAAATGTGCAGATCGACCTAAACCCACATGGCATCGTAAGTAAACGTGATGGCGAAAGCGTAAAAAAATATATATATATATCTGACAGAAAAATACGTTATAAATGTCAAAAGAAATTTTTCGAATTTAACCGAAAAAAAAAAAACTACAAATCGCCTTGACGTTTGTCAACGTTGTTACAGTCAGCCACCGTATTAAAAGCGTTCTTTGCCTTTTCTTTTCTAACGCAAGATTTTGGGTGTTCAATTTTGAATTTGACATTTGTATGATTAACCCACTTCATCAGATATCGATTGTCAGGCAAGTGCGAAAGGTCTCAGGAAGTCCGTACTACTCCGCACTGGCTACCCCCACTCAGGTATTATCGAATGTTACGTTGCACGTGTTTTTATTTTTCTCTTCTCTCTATACCTCTCTTTTACTCACCCTCTATTTCAGTCACACAATCACACACCACACGCGCACACAGGAGCAAATGCATACAAACCCCTTCGATACCCCCATTTTCATTTTTCAATCAATTTCCCCTCTGTCTTTCTTGTTCCCTCTTTCTCTCTTTACATCTTTGCCTCTCCTCCCCCCCCCCCCCCCCCATCCCCCTCC